TAAGAGGAAAAGGTAGCTGAGCATGATAACACACAACTGTAATCCCAGCACACAGGAGGCCGAGGCAGGAGGATTGAAGCAAGTTTGGGGCAAGTCTGGGCCTACATAGTTGAAGGCCAGCCTGAACTACATAGACCCAGTCTCAAAAAAGACCAAAAACAGGAAAGGTAAACTAAGCTGTTAAGAGAGCAAGATGCCTGTACTCTCAGCACTCAGGAGAATGGTGAATTTGAGGCCAGCCTGCAATGTTGAGGAAGAAGGCTTCTGGGGAGAGAAAGTCATGATGGCCCTAGAGATAGATTGGGGTATAGCTGGAAGCGGGGGCACACACCTGTAATCCCAGCACCGGGAGGCTGAGGTAGGAAGGAGTGTCACAAGTTGGAGCACAGCCTGGGCAACTCAGTGACTAAATGAGAGACACTGTCTTGAAATACAAATTTAAAAGGGCTGCGAATGTAGCTCAGTGTGAAGGCCCCAAGTTCAATTCCAGGTATTGCAAAATGAAAGGATGAGAAGGTCCAGTGTGCAGGCAACCGGATGAGACAGGTGAAGCTAATGTGACAGGCGGAGAATGGCCCTGTTCATCCTGATGCCTTCATCACAAAGCTGCTGCTAACAAATCTCCCAGAGGGGGGATAGCGTTTTTTAAAGCGCATTTTGCACCATGTGCAAACTCATACCTGCTCAATAGCTAAACCCCACCCTGTTCAAAGACAACTGAGGGAGAGAGGGTTGGGAAGAAGGAAGAAAAGGAGGTGGGAGGGCCTCGGAAGTTGGTCAGCACAAGTTCCCTGGGTCTGAATTTCTTCAAATACAAACACACAAAGGTTTATTGAGTACCTGGGATCGTCAAGGCCCAGCACTGTGTGCACTGGACATGTTCAATAAATATTTGCTGTTTTGATTTCCCTGAAACCAAACTGAACTTTCTAACTGTTGTGAGGATTAGGGTGAATTTCAGTGTGACACTTTGAGTCTCAGCCAAATAATGCTGCAGGATTTATTTTGATAAACTTTATCTCACCTTAATGAAAATATCACCATTGCCTAATAAACTGGAAATCCAGGGGAGATGGAGACTTGCATTTTTGTGCTAGATTTCTTGCCAGGTTTCCATGGAAGGGTTCATCCTTGAGTTACTCAGTAGCCACGGGAAGAGCTGGGCTGGACTGCAGAGACCCTGGGGATTGGGAGAAGAAGGGACACCCAGGATGCCAGCCACTGGGTGGGACCCGCCGACTGCCCTGGGCAGGGCTGGGGGAAGGAACTGCTGATCTTGGAAATCCTAAAATCCAGAGGGTCAGCCCCACCTGGTGGTGCAGGCACACCTATGGTCCCAGCATTTGAGAGGCTGGAGCAGGGGAATCTCTGTGAGTTCGAAGGCCAGGCTGGCATACACTATAAATTCAAGACTGGCCTGAACTACGTAGCAAAACTGTCTCAATAGACACATGCACACGCACGCGCACACACAGTGCTAGAGCTACAATGAGAGTAGAGGCTGCCTGGGCTGAATTCCAGGGCCAGGACCAGCCTTGTTTTCCTCATGTGAATTGAAGACTGTGCTACTGGAAAAGAAGGAGCTAGTATGTTGAATGCCTAGGATGTGCTCATCTGGAGTGTGTGTCAGAGACAAATATGTGGTCCTAAAATTTGGATAGTCAGCTAGGTGTGGTGGCACTCAGGAGGCTGAGGCAGGAAGATTGTCTAGAGTTTGAGGCCTGCCTGGACTATATAGTGAATTCAAGGCCAGCCTGAATGACATAGTGGATGGCGGGGGGAGTATTGATAGTCAAAGAAAAAAGTGGTGGCCCAGGTTTTATTTCTGGGACCTGGGTTTTGAGATAATTTCTAACAAACTTGAAAGAGACTATCCAGGGGAGAACAACCAAATGGTACTTCAAGAAAAGCAATTAGCTGGGCATGGTAGTACACACCTGCAAACCCAGCCATTGGGGAGGCTGAGGCAGGATCACAAGTTCCAGATCAGCCTGGGCTACATAATGAGACTGTGTCTCTATATAAAATTAATAATAATAATGATAATGATAATAATAGGGCTGGGGATGTAGTTTAGGGGCAGAGTACCCCTGGGTTCTATCCTGAGCACTGCAGACAGAAAGAGAAGGAGGGACATTTGGCCATATGAATTTTAACCTGTGAAGCCATGGTGTTTCCTTCATGTCTCTCATCTGAGGACACGGGTGTGAGAAGGCTGCAGATGGAGGGCTTTCTGTCTCAGCTCTGCTTACGCTGTGATTTGGGGCAGGTACTTAAACCTGTAAAATCACCTTTCTCTTTGAGCTGGGCACAGTAATATCCTCCCAAAGGAGCTGATGAGAGACCTTCGTGAGATAGTGTCTAAAGCATTCAGTGTAGATCCTGGAACACAGCGCCCTAAAATGCAACCTAGCATTATCCCCCTGAGATGTTTCAATTTGACCTAAACTACTATCCAACAGGAGAGTCATGCTCAAATGATAGACAGTGGGATGTTACACAGCCAGTAGAGATCAGTTGGCCAGGCAGGTCCCCTAAATGCTGCTCCTGCATCTGCAGATACCGAAGTGGGCTTCTGTCACTGTCACCAGCTGCAAGCTTAGCCTGCAGTTTTCTGCTGCACTGGGGATTGAACCCAGGGCCTTCCCATTGAGCTATATCTCCGGCCTTTTATATTTTTTATCTTTAGATTGATTCTCACTAAATCCCTAAATTGCCTGGGCTGGGTTCGAACTTTCAGCCTTCCTGCCTTAGCCTTCCAGTGCTGTGGTTCCTCTTTGATGCTGCCACCGCCTTTATTTTTGCCCTGGGACCCCACTTCCAAGCTGCTGTCAATGGCACTGATGGCCTTGTTGCTCGTCAAGTCAAGGTGATACTGTGACTTGTTCAGAAAGGGAAGACAGGCAGGGCTGTAGCTCAGTGGCAGAGCCTTTACCTAGCATAAGCAAAACCCCTGGGGTATAGTTCAGTGCCGAGTAATACAAGAAAAAAAAAGGAAAGAAAGGGAAAAGAAAATTAAGTTAAAAGGTACATCTTGACAAGTCTTTAGGTTTTTGGGTAGCTCCTTCTAAAAGTGACTCTCCAACTAAACTTCTAAAAGTTACCTGCTTCTGGTTTGCACACCTCTCCCTCTGGAGTTGGATTCCAGGTTCTTCACTTCTCGAGCAAATAATTGAACAAAATGATGAAAAAGCAATGGCCAAGTTTAATGAGAAAATACAGAATTTGGGAGAAACAGGCTCTGCAAAGCCAACTTGGGCCAAGTGAAAAAGGAAAAAGCAGGATAAAAGGACACCCTGGAGGAAGCAGGGCGGGCTACCATGGGGAAAGTCACGATGGGAGGGCTCTTTGTGCATCCTTCATGTTGTCTAAATCTTTCTTTTTTTCATTACTCTAACATTTTTATTCAAAATATTTTATAGCACAAATCTGTTTTCACACAGTACGTTATGTTCTGTAGTTTTTTGTTTTTCCTGTCTGAGTTTATTGGCACATTTTAGGTATACAGTACAGTTCCATTCATCATTGGGATCCTGTACCTTTACATGACAGATCTTGGTTCTCATTTTTGCCCCTTGTCCCTGCCTAAATGTCATCCAAATCTGGAGGGTCCCTAAAGAACTTATACACCCAGGCTGTGAGAGGCGGTGCTGGGATCCCATGCCTCCGGCTGATGTCAGGTCCAGGCCTATTGAGAACCTGCTCCACTTCTCCTGAGAAGTCCAAGTGCACGGCTTTGGGAACTGTTCTGCACATGTGTTCTGGGACCTTGTAATTAACTGGTCACACCTGCATCCCAGCCAGCTTTGCCAGCTTCGCCATGCCTTACCTCCTGTCTCATTATTGTCCTAGTTTTCCACCCCACCCCTCCCTATCCCTCTGTTTTTTTGTTTTGTTTTTGAGACAAGCTCCCACTGTGTAGTCCAGGCTGGTTTTAAACTCCCTGCCGTCCTCCTGCCTCAGCCTCGAGTGCTGGGATTACAGGTGTGTTCCATCACACCTGGCTCAGCTCACTGTCTTTCAGTGAGAGTTGCTCGAGAGCCTCTGAGCATTCTGGGGTCCTTTGGGACAATTCTTGGAGCCTGTTCATGCTGCATCCCACCACCAAGAACTTAGATGTGGGTCAGTCCAGACAATTTCCTAATGAAATAATGAGTAAAGACTCTAAAACTCTGATGATTGCAGCAACGACTTCTGAATCCTTAGTCATACAGAAGATGGCATATATATTCTGTGAACACTGAAGTGTTTGGGATATAGCTCAGTAGTAAGCACTGATCTGACATTTACAAGGCCCTGGGTTTGATTCCCAGCACATAAATAGATAAATAAAATAAGCAAGCAGTTTTGCACGTATGTTTTTTGCCTGCCCCATATGCTCTCCTAATTCCCCAGTAGAATTGGCTAAGTATTTCCCAACCAGCTTCTTTCCCTTAGAGGAACTCTTGGTGTGTGCCCTGCTCATGTGTTGCTTCCCAGCACTTCCTGGATGAAAGGGGAATGGTCCATTTGAGAGCCATAGTTGTGACCACTGTGGTGTACCTGGGTCTGGGCCTGGGACACCTCTGCTCCCAGAAGCCTGAAGGTAGCAGCTTGTTCCTCCTTCCCTACCAGTAGATAGTAGTCTCGCAGTCTGTCTGTCTGTCTGTCTGAGAGATTGGGAGGAGACTGAACTGAAGAGGTAGAGGATATAGAAGTTTCTGTACATTCAACTTGTCTACTTACACTCACCTGCATTATTTCTAACTCCTGATGGGGTTAAACAGGGGGAAAGTCCTACAATGTTCCCCTAAGTCAGTTATTTCCTAAGCAAGTTTGAGCTCATAACATGTTCTTTTCCTTTTCTGTAAGGGGAAGAGGAGAATGAGGTACTGTGAATAAGAGAGGTGGGTCATGCTTTCCCTAGGACTGACTGAACTTTAACTTCTCTGCTCATTGAGTAACACAGAGCTCTATACTTTGCTTAACCCTGGGAAGTGGTCATCAGTCTTTGACCTCAGCCCTCCCCTCCTGACCAGCTCCATCCCCCACTCGGCTTCTGGATCCTCAGTCTGATTTGGAGGAAGGAACCAGTGTCAGAGGGATTGCCTCAGACCACACTACCTCCACCTGCCCAACTCTGTGGAAGATTAGCAGCCATGTTTTCCAGTGCTTTGGGGAAAAGGTAAGCGGGTGAGCCTTCCCTTCACACACTCCTGCTGGCTTCTCTAACCTTTAAAGAAATCACAAGCATGGCCTCCGACACCTTTGAGAAGACCAGGCCCTCTCCCTGGTAGTTATAATAAGAGACCTGTTTGGAAGACGTCATTCTGAGTGCCCTCCCTCCCACACCCCTCTTGGGCTAAGGTCTTTCCCTAAGCCACACCTTGGGTTCTTAGCCGGAGGAACTGAGGACGTCTTCCTTTGGGTGAAGGTACCACGCTGATGGCCAGCACTCCTGGCAATCCAGAGGACACTCCGAGGAGCCTGCCACGGATGGAAAAGTGGGCAAATGGACCCCACAAGGACCTAACTCCCTTTTCGTCCCTCCTTCCACAGGTTGCCCCCCACCCAAGACCTCAGTGAGCTTCCATTGACTATCAGAGCCTGTTCCCTTTTTTCAGGAAGACTCCTTCCTTCCCCTCCTTGATCTAGGTTGACACAGGGCTACAAGTGAGGTGGTGGGTCCACCATCACGGTTCTTTTTGTGCTTGATAGAGCTCCAAGGACCTCCTTCGCTCCCATTCATGGTTCCAAATGTGCAGGAAACAAGATAATTGAGATGAGTGGTGGACACCATGATTCATTCTCTGTCTCCTTCACCCCAGAGTTGGGGTCACAGGCCTGTGCCAGCACACCTGCCTTCCCTATCTGATTGCTTAAAAAGTGAGATTTCCTTCATTTACATTTTTTTTGTTTTGGTACCGGGGATTCAGGCCACGGAACCACTGAGCTACATCCCCCCCTTCATTTACATTTAATGACCCCTTGTTGGGAGCTGTTACACATTTCAGGCAACTTAAAAGGACGAGGGACTGAATTCAGGCAGTGGAAGTAGCTGGTGAGAGGGCAAGGAATTGTATCTGAGGCCTGACTGAGGAGGGGCAGATGGAAGAACCCAGAGTGACTCCAGGCTTATGGACTGGATGTGAGGGGAAATGCAGGTCCTATTCACTGAGCTGAAGGCCACGGGAAGAAAGGTGGGAGGGAGCTGGGCTGGGTCGCAAGCGGGACTTCCGGTGGAATTGGCCAGCAGTCAGCCTGGAGCTCCGTGGGAGGTTAGGGCTGGAACTAGAGGTTTGGGAGTCTTCAGTACATAGATGTCTGCTTCATTCATTCTTTCTTTCCCTCTTCAAAAGTCCTTCCCAACCTCTAAGGTCCGGGTTAAATTACAGCGATCCATGAGGGCTTCCTGCAACAGCTTCTGCCTAGCTCCCCTTGCCGCCCTAACTCTTCACTGGGTGCTAAGGTCCTCCCTCCTGTCCGTGTCCCCCACACACGTCTCTCCAACCAGAGGCTTCACCTTCATCTCTCCAGCATGGAGCCTTCAGCTCAGTAATTCTGAGAGTCCTAACAAACAGCACTCCGTGGCAAGCCCAGCACGACTCTGTCCAGACAAAGCGGGGCCATCCTCTGGCAAGGAGTCCAGGCCTAGCCTTGTCCTGGGTTCTTGTGCTCGGTTCCAAGGCTTGGCCCTCGGGGCTCAGCAGCTGGGCTGCCATCCTGTGCTTTCCCGAGAGACCCGGTCCTTCGGTGTCGCTTAACCCAGTGTTCTGCCCCTCTAGGAAGGTTTGTCTTTTCTCCGTGCTGCTCACTGGCCTCTGGGGCAGCGTAGCCTGTCAAGGGAACCCGGTGGAGGACATCTGCGTGGCGAAGCCGAGGGACATTCCCGTAAATCCCATGTGCATTTACCGCTTCCCAGAGAAGAAAGCAACCGAGGATGAGGGCTCAGAGAAGAAGGTCCCCGAGGCCACCAACCGCCGGGTCTGGGAACTGTCCAAGGCCAATTCCCGTTTTGCCACCACCTTCTACCAGCACCTGGCAGACTCTAAGAATGACAACGACAATATCTTCCTGTCACCCTTGAGTATCTCCACAGCTTTTGCTATGACCAAGCTGGGTGCCTGTAATGACACGCTCAAGCAGCTGATGGAGGTGAGTCCAGTGCCCCTGCCTCCCCTCACAGGAGCGCATTCTGGGCTCCCGGCCCAGCGACTCCTAAACCAACGCGGTCACTGTGGGGTTTGCTTCCCGCTGAATCACTACTTCCTGTGTTCTGATTCCTTTAGAAAAACTGATTTTTTAAATAGGAAAGGAATTACTACCCGGATGTCTCAACTTTGATCTGAGTTTCTTCTTCTAGGTTTTCAAGTGGGGGAGGCCTTAATGTCTTACAACTTCCCTGTCTAGTCATTCTCTCATTGAGGTACTTATTCAGTCATTGGGTCACTTGCGTTAGGGTAGAGTCTCACTTTGGAAGCAGAGATTAAACCATAGGGAGCCCCAAGGCCCTTGAGCGTGGTGCCCGGTGTCTCTGAGTCCCAGACACGGAAGCGCGTGGAGTGCACCTCTCATCTGGTGGTTTCCACTGGACTTTATCAATCTGTTCAGTCTCTGTAATGAGCTTACCCATGCCTTTGCTCCACAAAAAACATGTAGCTTTAGAAATTCTTTCTGGGCGAATTTAATTCTTTTGTGTGTTTCTCCAACACCATTTGTTGAATGCACTGTCCTTTCTTTAGTTTGTATTCTTATTACTCCTTCTTGATGAGCAGTTGAGTATATATTAAGAATCTTGTAGGTCACGTACTACTACTGTCTTCTCTAGGCCCTTCCATAACCTTTGTGCAATAGGTATTGGTCTTAAAAGCACATCCATTTACCAGGATACATCTGTGTACCCATGTGAGAGCTTGAATGTGACCCTTTCCATAAAAAGACCTGAAACAGAGCTAGGGTGTATCGCAGTGGTATATAATAGAACAGGGGGCTGAGGGCTGGGGATTTAGCTCAGTGGTTCCACTGCCTGCCTTGCAGGCACAAGGTCCCAAGTTCGATCCATAGTACCCCTCCCCCGAAAAGAAAAGAAAAGTGGGGTGGGACTCTAGAGAAAGAAGAAATTCAGCATTGAGCTATTGGTCAAAGCATGTTGTTTTGTTATTGTGTTATTTGTGTGAGGCAGGGCCTTGCTATGTAGCTCAGGCTGGCCTCAAACTCATGGCATTCGTTCCTCCTCAGCCTCCCCAGGGCCGGGATGACAGGCGTGAGCCACCACACCCAGCTATCTTCGTTTTTAAAAATATTGCATGCTGAGACAAAATCAAGAAAATCAAAATCAGTGAATAGATAAAACCGAAACGCCTTTCATCCCCTTGGGACAGGTTGGAGGGAGGAGGAAGAGTAACCTCAGTATTTTGCCTTGATGGGAAGGGCGGGTGGCTGAGAGGACAGCTTCCATGGCTCTGCCTGGCACAGTGACCTTTTAGATACTCTGTTCTGAGCCCTGTTTATTTCCTCGCTGAGGGAAATTACTCTTTTCCTTTCTTAGCCTGACCATAGCCAGTATCCCAGAGGTTCAAGAGCTACTGAGCCCTGTAGATGCCAGGAAAGTGCTGTTCCAAGGAAAGACATGATGATGGTTCCCCTCTCTGTCCCCAACACCAAGAGGACTTCTGTCCCATTAAGAAAACACCTGCATGTCAGCCTAGCGCCCTTTCGAGACTGTGGGTGACACCCTCGCCTTGCCGTCCTTCCTTTTCCCTTCGTGCTTCCTGCCCTTTCTTCTCCTTCTGCCCTTTGCTCATCCTCAAGTCTGAGCTGAGCATTCATGCTGTGCCGGGCACTGTTTGAGAGCTGATGACCGCTGGCTTTGGCCGTGGGCTGACTGGGCCTGTGCGCCCCCCATGTCGGCCATGCTGCCCTGCCAAACCCACCGCCATTTTCTTTTGGCTTCCTCAGGTTTTTAAGTTTGATACCATCTCTGAGAAAACATCTGATCAGATCCACTTCTTCTTTGCCAAACTCAACTGTCGACTCTATCGAAAAGCCAACAAGTCCTCCAATTTAGTATCAGCCAACCGCCTGTTTGGAGACAAATCCCTGACCTTCAATGAGACCTACCAGGACATCAGCGAGGTGGTCTATGGTGCCAAGCTCCAGCCCCTGGACTTTAAGGTGAGTGGTAGGTACCCCATGCAACTGGGAGTTCTTCCTGTCCACCTGGAGAGTGAGGAGGTAGAGAAAAGGTAACATTGCTATGCTCGCTGAAGACTGGCCACAAACCAGAATCCAGAGGACTGATTCTTCCTGGAAACCTCACAAGTCAATGGTATGGACAGCTTAGGTTGCAGAGGCTGCTCTGACAAAGCTGTATAAATCATCAAGTCTTGTTCAGATATATAACAAAGACTGCAGTGGAGACGCCGGTCCTATAAGAGAACTTATTTAATATAAACAGTTGTTGAGTTCAAATAAAATTGGTATACGATGCATACTGTTTTCTCCTCTTGGAGGTTCATGAAGTCTACTAAGTGTTCTGAGCGGTGCTGCAACGGAGAAACACACCACTCTATTTAGCCAGAATCTCTCAAACTTGCTTAACATGGGGCACTTCCTTGCTCCTCCTAACCTTTTAACCCTTGCCGTCACACATTGCTTTCTGTAGAGCATATTGTTAGAAACTCTTCTTTTGTGACTTCAGCTATTCTGAAGTCAGAAAAGATAACATTTTATTTATTTATTTTTCTAGTACTGAGGATTGAACCAGGGCCTTTGCACTGAGTTATATCTCCAGCTCTTTTATGTTTTGAGACAGTTTCTCCCTAAGTTGGAAAGTTGCCTAGGCTGAGCTGGAATATGAGATCCTCCTCCTGCCTCCTAGCCTCCCAGAGTGCTAGGATTATAGGCATGTGCCACCACATCCAGCTTTTAGGTTCCTTTTCAAGACTTTTCTCCCTTTTTCATTTCGATTCCTCCATCTCTTCTTTGCCTTCTTATAATTTATTCACTATATAAAAATCAATGGTACCATACTAGACATGTGAAGTTTCCTTAGTTTGGGTTAAAGTCATGGCTTCTTAACCAAGTGGTGGAAAGGCAGAAGGATGATGAAGAAAATAAAATGCTGCCAGGGGAAACACAGCGGTCAGTCAAATAGCACAGGTGGATAGGTTTGCTTTCTGTTCTCCACAGGAAAATGCAGAGCCATCCAGAAAGACCATCAACAAATGGGTAGCAAACAAGACGGAAGGCAGGATCACTGATGTCATTCCCAACGGAGCCATCGACGAATTCACCATTCTGGTGCTGGTCAACACCATTTACTTCAAGGTACTCAAAATGGGCCTGGGGAGACTCCGGTGACTTCCTCTTGGTCTCCGGCTCATCCTCTTTTATTCATCTGGGCATGTGGAAATAGATCTTTTCTGAGAAGTGGTCCACTCAGGTTCTGGTAGACGTGCACACTTGCTAAGAGCAGGACACGCACACTCTCCGCTCAGGTGCAGGGTGTGTGTGGCCATAAACTCTCATATGTCTGGGAGATACGTGGTTAACACACACACATGCCTATGTGGCAGCGTGGCACATATTTTTGCCATCCAGTTAACTCCCTTTGAAATCTGGAACAGAAAGACAGTCAACATATTGACAGCCCTCAGCGAGGCGAATTTCCCTCGTGTCCAGAGCAGCCTCTACAGTGGCCCCAGTCCCCTTGCTGAAGCATCGAGCATCCAGGTACCAGGCTATCCCTAGACTTGGCAAAGTAGAGCCTTGGTCTCCCTCACAGTCGAGAGTGCTGAAGTCCATCCAGCTTGACTACTTCAGGGAAGGTGACGGAGCGAGGAATGCTAAAGAATGGTGCATGAAGCCAGCCCTCTCCCTGCTTCTGAAATAATTAATTCTTATTACTACCACTACTACTACTAATAAATAATAATAATTCTTATGAATGGAATTAGTTTCCGAAACCGTCAATTATAATAGGTATAACTGTAAAAAAATGATGATGCCCCTGTGATGGTACCTGGGTCTGGCCTCTGTCCGGGCAGAGCCCGGAACGTTGGAGCTTAGCCCCTAGCAAAGAGGCTGGCGAGGAACACCTTGAGTTCAGTCAACAAGAACTTGTAAGGAAGTTTGTAGGCTATTCTTGGTTTTCGATTTTATTTTCTCTAATGATGAAGGCAAAAGTCACTGCTAAAAATCTGACAAATACAGTAACGTATATATTACAAACCCCACCTATAATTCCATCACATTGACATAGTGATTATTAACCTTTTCATTCATGGGCCTCTAGGCTTCTAGTCTTACCTAAAAACTCCATATGTTAACGTAAGAAGATAATGTACATGTCCCATGTCAATAAATATTTTCGCATGGGTTGTTCTTACTTTGTGATTCCCCCACCTGGCCTCTTCTTCCAGGGCCTGTGGAAGTCAAAGTTCAGCCCTGAGAATACAAGGGAGGAGCTGTTCTACAAGGCTAACGAAGAGACGTGCTCGGCGTCTATGATGTACCAGGAAGGCAAGTTCCGGTACCGGCACGTGGCAGAAGGTACCCAGGTGCTGGAGTTGCCCTTCAAGGGTGATGACATCACCATGGTGCTCATCCTGCCCAGGCCCGAGAAAAGCCTGGCCAAGGTGGAGCAAGAACTCACCCCGGAGGTGCTGCAGGAGTGGCTGGATGAGCTGGCGGAGACGATGCTGGTGGTCCACATGCCCCGCTTCCGCGTGGAGGACGGCTTCAGCCTGAAGGAGCGTCTGCAGGACATGGGTCTGGTCGACCTGTTCAGTCCTGAGAAGTCCAAACTCCCAGGTTGGTACAGGAAGGACTTCCTTCCTCTCTGCCCCAGGGTGGTTTGAATACAAGTAAAAGAGTTGAAGAATAGAAAAGAGCATCAAGTCAAGATCCCTGGATTCCGATCGCAGGCCTACCTCTATCTTGTGGAAATCCTTACCCTTTGGGGGCCTCAGTCTTCTCTGCTACGAAAGGGATAGTTTGCTCCTCTAGCTCCATGGGCCTAACCAGTGGTAACACCCTGTCACCCTGCTAGAGGAGACGAAACCAGGTGGAGACGCACTCAGAGAGGGACTGGAATTCAGTGCAGAGACAGATATTAAAAGCAGGTTGATGGGCTGAAAGAAGCTCTGGCTTTGAAGACTTCATCTAACAATGAAAAGGTCAACATAAGCTAATTATTTTATCGAATATAATTACATTCAATGTTGTCGAAATTCAAGGACATGATATTTTTGCAAAGGGCATGATATGTGGTCCGTGGTTTAAAAGATGATAATGTTAAAGATACTACCAATGACTATTAAGTCCTGTGCTATGCTAGCCACTTTATAAATATATTATCTCAGATCCTCCAAGTGTCCCCTGAGATAGATCTTCTGTACTTAAAAAATACAAAATGAAGCTCACAGAGCACAAGGGGCCTGTCTGAAGCAACATTTATAAGCAGCAGTTCTCAAATTTGAAAAATGCGGCTCCAAAGCCCACCACTGTTCCTCGGCAACCACATTTCCCGAAGTGTGAGCTTTGTACTGCTGATTGAGGTGCTCAGAACCTAGGCTTGCTGTGACTGCAGTCAGGAGAATATTTTTCCATAACAAAGTCCTTTCTCACTGTTCTGATAAAACAAGAGAGTTTCCGTTTGATGGACTGCATTCTCACCTCTTTTAATCGTGCCATGCTCCCCTTTTGGTTTTGGTTCTTACCACCCAGCTTTCCATTCTCTTAATTTTGCTCTCAACATGAAGATGCGGTGTGAAGGTTTTTGATTCTCATAGTATTACAGTGAAAAGTGCAAATGTTTATGTCCTTCATTCTCTTTTTCTTCTTCCTCTATTCAAATGCTTCTGCCAAGTGGAGTGACCAGAACCCTTCTATAGTGCTGGTGGGATAATAAAATGGTGCAGCAACTCTGAAAAAAAAATTAAGAGCAGGGGACATCTGGACCCTCCCAAAATGGGCTGAACTGACATTTATTAGCCCTTCACCTGACATGCCAAAGGGCTCCTTTGTGTCCTTTAGGGCCACTTGGACAGATACAGCGAGTTTTTACCCAGTTAGTGGTGTTTAGTTGGTAGGATTCCTCCAACCCACCATCCTTCAAAAATAAGCATCTAAACAAAATACTTAAAAAAGAAGTTGGCAGTACTAGGCAATTGGATTTATCTTTACTGGGCTGTCTTTAAACTAGTTTTGAAAGCCAGCCCTCCTTTAGAATGTCGCCAGATTGGCTGGTGTTGTTGGTACACACCTGTATTCCTAGCTAATTGGGAGGCTGGTGCAGGAGGATTACAAGTTGCAGGCCAACCCAGCCCCTGGACAGGGGCTTAGTGGTGGGGTGCTTGCCTGGATCATGTGAGGACTAAGTTTCTTTTTTTCTTTTTTGATCAGCCCAGTGTCTTTTTTAAAAAGCAAAATATTTATTGGTACCTTTAAGGTGTGTAAGGATAACACTCATCATAGGGAATTTGCACCTGTACACGATACATCCTGTCTCTTTTTTTCCCATTCCCTCCCTCCCTCCCTACCCCTCCCCATATACAAAAGCTGTTTGGATTTTTTTTCAGTTCCCTTTTTTTCTTGTTCCTTCCTTCTTTTCCCCCTCAACTCTCCCTTGTGCCCTTTGCCATTTGAACATTTTCTTCCCATTTCCCAATATCTACTATACATTTCAGTTTTTATTTCCACTTTCAGTTTTTCACAACAGAGAAACAATGCAGTATTTAAACATGTGTGACATTTATTTCACTTAAGAGTATGGTCTCAAGGTGCACCCATTTAGCTAGAAATGTCTCAAGCTCATCCTTCTTTATGTCAGAGTAGTATTCCATTGAATAAAAAAAGAAACATCTTTATCCATTCATTGGTTGATGGGCATTTGGACCTTTTTTCAAAATTTAACTATTACAAACGGTCACTATAAACATGTGTGCATGCATTGCTGTGGAACGATCCTTTTAATTCTTTTGGGAAGATACCAAGAAGGAGAATAGTTGGGTCAACTGGAGTCTCTAATTTTATTTTTTAGAGGAATCTCCACAGTGATTTCCACAGTGGTTATACCAGTCTCTACTCTAACCAACAGTGGAGGAGAGTTCATTTCCCCCCACAGTCCCTCCAGAATTTGTTGTTGATTTCTGGATAGCAGCCATTCTTTCTGGAGTGACATGGGATCTCAGCATTGTTTTAATTTGCATCTCTCAAAAGACCAGTGAGGTTGAACACTTTTTCATGTATTTACTTGCCATTTCTACTTCTTCATCTAAAAAGTGTCTGTTCATTTCAGGTGCCCATTTTTAGACTGGGTCTTTAAATTTGTGGGGGGTCTTGTTTTTTTGAGTTCTTCATATATATATATTTATTTGTACCGGGGATCGAACTTGGGTCCTTGTGCTTATAAGGCAGGTGGCAGAGCTACTGAGCTAAATCGCCAGCCCTCTTTATATATTCTAGATAGTAGTCCTTTGTCTGAGGAACAGCTGGTAAAAATTTTTCCCACACCTGGGTTGTCTCTTCACTCTGTTGGTTTCTCTTGCGTGCAAAAGCTTTTTAATAAGATGAGATCCCACTTGTTGGTTCATTGTGACATTTTCTGTGGGACTGGGGTTTTGTTCATAAAGTCTTTGCCTATATCAGTGTCTTCAAGAGTTCTATGTATTCTACCTTCCATCAGATTTAGTGTTTTTCTTTTAATATTTAAATCTTTGATTCATTTTTGATTTGGGGTTAGTATATGGTGAAACATGTGGATCTAGTTTTAATCCTTAGCATGTGGAAAGCCAGTTTTCCCAGCACCATTTATGAAAGAGGCTGTCTTTCAGTGAAAGTGTTTGGCCCCTTTGTCAAAGATAAGGTGGCTGAGTGTGTCTGGAGTTGTTTCTGCATCTTCTAATCTGATCCATTGATCCTCAGGCCCCACCCCTGTGGCATATTGTTTTTAGCACAGTAGCTTTGTAGTATAATTTCAAGTCAGGAATTGTGATGAACCCTGCCTTGCCTTTTTTGCCCAGAATTGCCTTTACTTTACTAGTCTAGGTTCTTCTGGTTCCAAATTAATTTCGGGATTGTTTTTTCTAATACTGTGAGAATATGCTGTTGGAATTTTTATTGGAATTGCACTCATCTGTTTAACAATTTTGGAAGGATGGCCATTTTCATTATATTGGTTCTTCCTACCCAAGAACAAGGGATATCTTTTCATTTTCTGATATCCTCTTCAATCTTCTTTTTCAGAGTACTGCAGTTTTCAGTGTAGAGGTCCTTTACTTCCTTTGTTAGATTGATTCCTACGTATTTGTTTTTATGCTATTGTGAAAGGTGATATTTCCCCAATTTGTCTCTCAGCTTGAAGGCTATTGATTGTGTGTGTGTGGTACTGGGGATCGAACTCAGGATCTTGTGCTTGCAAGGCAGGTGTGGCACCACTGAGCTAAATCTACGTTCCCATAAGGCTATTGATTTTTGAATGTTGACTTCAAATCCAGCTATACCACTGAATTTCTTATTAAATCTAGAAGTCTTTTGGTGGAGCTTTTGGTGTCTTCTATGAGGAGTATCACGTCATCTGCAAATAATGGTAATTTAACTCTTCCTTTCCTATTCTTATTCCTTTTATTTCTTTCTCTTATCTAATTGCTTTGGTTAATGTTTCAAGAACTATATTGAATAAGAGTGTTGATAGTGGATATCCTTGTCTTGTTCCTGATTTTACAGCAAAAACTCAGTTTTTGTCCATTTAGCATTATGTTGGCTGTTGGTTTGTCATAGATGGAGATAAATATAAAGACCATGGAAATGAGATAAAGAGCATTTACACCAATTTTATATAGAATTTTTTTTTAATCATGAATGGGTGTTGGACCTTGTCAGACACTTTTTCTGCATCTATTGAGAGGATCACATTTTTCTTTGCTTAACTATGTTAATATAGTGTATTACATTTATTGATTTGTGTATGTTGAATCATCCCTGCATCCATGGGATGAATCCTACTTGGTCAGGGTGTAGGATCTGCATTCTGTTTGTCAGTATCCTATTGAGGATTTTTATATCTATGTTCATTAGGGAGAATGGCCTGTAATTCTCATTCTTGGTTTGATCCTTCTCTGGTTTTGGTATCAGGGTAATGCTTGCTTCCAGGAATAAATTTGGGAATATCGCTTCCCTTTCATTTTCATTGAAAAGTTTGAGAAGTAGCAATAGTATATCTTCCCTAGGGTCAGGGATTTAGCTCAGTGATTCTGCTGCCTGTCTTGCAAGTGCAAGGACCCAAGTTCAGCCCCAGTAGTCCCCCACCCCCAAATATAGACTCTAAATTTGTAGAATTCTGTCCAGGCTTAGGCTTTTGTTTGTTCATAGATTTTTATTTCTTCAATTTCATTGGTTGATATTGGGTTATTTAGAATATTTATATCTTCTTGATTCAGTTTTGGTAATTTCTATGTATCTAGGAATCTATTTCTTCTGTGTTTTTCATCTAATTAGAATATAGGTTCTTGAAGTGGGTATTGATGAGCTCCTGAATTTCTGAGGGATCTGTTGTGATTTCATCCTTTTCATACTTTTTTTTTTCCAGTACCGGGGATTGAACTCAGGACCTTGTACTTGTGAGGCAGGCACAGTGCCACTGAGCTAAATCCCCAGCCCATCCTTTTCTTTTTTTTTGGTACTGGGGATCGAACTCAGGACCTTGCTCTTGTGAGGCAGGTGGTGGAACCATTGAACTAAATTCCTGGCCCTGTCCTTTTCATTCTTAATTGCAGTGATTTAAGTCTTTCCTGTTTTTGATAAGATTGGCTCAGGATTTGTTGATTTTATTTATTTTTTCAAAAAACCAACTCTTCAATCTCTGACTTTTTTTTTAGTTTCCATTGCATTAATTTCTGCTCTAATTTTTATAATTTCCTTCTTCCTATGGCTTTGGTTTTGACTTGCTCTTCTTTTTCTAGAAGCTTGAGGTTCAACATTAGGTTATTAGAGCTTACTGTTTTCTTGATATGGGTATTTACTGCTATAAATTTTCCTCATAGGCCAGGATTTGACTCAGTGGTTCCACCACCTGCCTCACAAGCACAAGGACCTGAGTTCAATCCCTGGTAAAAAAAGAAAAGTTCCTCATGGGACTGCTTTCATTGCATCCCATAAGTTCCAGTATGTTGTGTTGGCATTGTCATTTAATTGTAGAAGTTGTCTAATTTCTTTTTAAAAATTAATTAATTTATTTATTTTTTGGTTGTTTGAGACAGGGTCTCACTATATAGTTAAGACTGACCTGGAACTCACTATGTAGTCCAGGCTGGTCTCGAACTCACAGTGATCCTCCTGCCTCAGCCTCCTGAGTGCTGGGATTACAGGCCTGTGCCACCAAGCCCAGCTTCTAATTTCTTTTATAATTTCTTTTTATAATTTCAACTGTGACCCCTTGGTTCTGGAGGGTGTTATCTAATTGCCATGTGTTTATGGAATTTCTGTGGTTTCTTTTGTCACTGATTTCCAATTTCATTGCACTATGTCTGATGATATACATGGGATAACTTCAGTTCCTCTGCATTTACGTAAGCATGTTCTATGAGCTAGCATGTGGTCTGTTTTGGAGACTGTTCCATGTGCAGCTGAGAATGTGTATTATGATGTGGGGTACAGCACTCTGTAAACATCTGTTAAGTTCATTTGTTCAAAAGTTTGGTTCAGTTCTGATATTTCATTGTTGTTTTTTTGTCTAGCTGATCTATTTGTGAAAGTGGGGTATTGAGGTCCCCATTACAATTGTATTAGTAGTTATTTGAATTTTCATGCCTGTTAATAGTTGTTTTACTATTTTATTTTATTTTTTTGGTACCAGGGATAGAACTTGGGTCCTTGTGTTTACAAGGCAGGCGGTGGAACCATTGAGCTAAACCCCTGGCCCAATATTTGTTTTATATAGTTGGGTGTGCTGGTATTTGAGGCATATATACTTATGATTGTTATTGCTTCATCTTGGATTATTCCCTTTACAAGGATATAGTGACCCTCTTTGTCTCTCTTAATCAGTCTGGGCTTGAAATCCACTTTGTCTGCAAGCAGAATAGCTACCTGTATTTTTTTATACTCTAGAAAATTTCAGACTCCATTGTATTTCTTTGAAAAGGGGATAACAGCAGTTACTGATACAACTAAAAAACTTATAATACAAGTTTCCTGACATGTATTTCCTGAGTGAACCGAAATGATTGTTTTTAAAAACAAAAAATTTTGACAAAGTAAAAGAAAATAGTTTATGGCTTGTAAGTAACAATTTTTTAACCCTCCCAAAAATTCAGAACAGTGATGTAATATGATAAATTAAAGCTATGCTACCACATGCAAAAATTTGCTACGGTCCATTAAGTATTACACAACTTTTCAAACTAAAGAAAATCAAAAGACTAAAAAGAGAGTCTGTTTAATTTCAAAGTGTATTGAGTTGTACAAGTGTCAAAAAAGCGTTGATATAGTGTAATGGCCTGTACTTTACTTGTGGTGCATTTAAAGAAGAGGGATTTGAGAAGCGGCTTTTTTCTTGCTTCTGAAAGCAGAGGACTTACTGGAGTAGAGCGTAAACAGACCTTTCCAGTGTGACCTCCACTCTCCTGTCACTGGTGCTCCTGTGCCCACCAAACCTTTACTTGAGTAATCTGTGGCAGCGCTACTAGGATTCAAGCCCACAGTTAAGGCTGGTCTGATAGGTTAAAAAAGGAAGACACTATTGTCATTCAATCCTTTATACCTCCAGATTTTCTTTTCCCCCATTAAGTTTATTGGTACATTTAAAGCAAACAATGCATTTATATTTATCATTAGGGTCTACCTCTTGATTTTCTAATGGTTAGATAAAACCCACTACAGAGAAATTAAGCATTTCTTGTTCTAAAAGCCAATCAAGTTACCTTCTTTTCTTGTTAAGTTATGCTTTTTCACATGGCAGTGATTTTAGAAACAGTGAACAGATGAACCACAGTTTTTATCCAAAAAATAAACTTGCCAAGTGTTACTGATACTAAAAAAAGATTACTTATCCTGGGAGAAAAAATAGATAATCTCGATTAAATTGTATATTCAAAGAAACATATAAAATGTTTCTTAGCATTCGTAGCATTAAGTTTTTGTTATAGTACTACACTTGAAACTTTAGGGAAAAAAAAGGTTCCTGATCATCTTCATTGAGAAGCTTTAATACAGAAAATTAATGCAGCGAGACCTGAGTGCACTGCAGAGTTCAAGCCAGCTTTTCCCAGTACGAAGAGAAAACACGTTGTAGATGAAAAGCAACCACGAGTATAACTACACTGCGGCCATGTACATGGTTATCGTAACTGGGGAAACAAAGACCGACCGTAATGGAAAAGATCTGAGAGTCCTATGTGTGGGTCTGTCGGTCCCCACGTCCCTCCCCGGTTGGATGTGAAGCTGGATTTTATGCGGCACCGCTGCGCCCTTGTAGGCCTGTGTTCAGGGAAGACACCAACCTATCGGTCCCAGATCCCGCTCCCTCCTGGTACTCGAAGATGTATATTAACTTTTTTTCTATTTCTCCTTCTTTCCTTTCTTCCTTCCTTGTCTTGGTACCTGGGATCGAACTCGGGGCCTCGTGCTTCCCAGGAAAGCGGCGGCACCGCTGAGCTAAATCCCCGGCCCAACGTTGGGATTTTACTGGTGCTTTGGATGGATAATTTCTTGATGGGGGAAACATGAGTTTGGCCATCTTTCCCACATCTGTGTTCACTGGTCAGGCGCTCTGGGACGCTTCGTGCATTGCTCCGGGTCCTGGGCCAACCCCTCTCCTCCCGGCGCCCCAGACCCCTCCCTCAGCGCCGCCCCGCTCCGTCTCCCCGCAGGTATCGTGGCCGAAGGCCGGGACGACCTGTACGTCTCAGACGCGTTCCACAAGGCGTTTCTCGAGGTGAGTTCGCGTCCCTGCGCTCCGCTTCCGCCAGTCTGCAGCCCTCTCCCGCGAGCTGGGCTGCGGAGACTGAAGAACGCTCTGGCTGGAGGGAAGGTTCCAGAGCACACGGCTCAGCAGGAAAGCAAAGTGGAAAGATCAGGGGAACGGGAGGGAGACAGGATCCTGATCTTGTAAGAGCGCTGGTCCTCTCATAAATGCGGTTCTAGAGTGAAAATGAAATGAGCCTGAGGGTGGAGGGTAAAGGAGAAGGAAGGGGCATGGGAGGGCGAGGCAGGGAGTTGAGTGTAGGGGCGCACGTCTGTGACCCCAGCATGGGGAAGACTAAGGTAGGAGAATGTTACAAGACAGTCTGGGCTATAGAGTCTGACAGCCGGGCATGGTGGTGCACCCCTGTAATCCCAGCACTCAGGAGGCTGAGGCAGGAGGATCACCACACGTTCAAGGGCAGCCTGAACTGTATAACAGGACTGCCTCAAAAAACAAGCAAGCAAACGAAAATAAGTAAAGAGAGACTTGGAGGTTAGCCTGGACTACACAGCCAGATCTATCTCAAAAAACCAGGGCTGGGGATGTAGCTTAGGGATGCCAAGCGCAAGGCCCTAAGTTTGATTCCTGGTATTGAAACAAAACAAAACAAAGCAAAAAACAGCTCCATTGCTCACTGATCTAAAGAGCTTCATTCGGAACCAGGAACACCCAGTACTCCAGAGGCTGAGATAGGAGGAATGCTGTGAGTTCGAGGCCAGCCTGGGTCACATTGTGGGTTCAAGGTCATCCTGAATCACATAGCAAGACCTTGTCTCAAAACAAAAGGACCAGTCAGTGATATTCTGAGTTGCTAGGTAATATTTTCTAAAGAACCGTAGCAGTTCTGCTTATCAGCCAAGTCCAAATCCCACTGTCTGTTCTCCAAGACTCATCCAGCTAGTCGTCCAGCCAGAGGACCCTCTTCTTTTCATAAGCTAGAATAGAGGTCCCGAGTAAAGCTTGGGGGTGTTGTATCTGGGATCCTGACGCTCCACAGAGCACTGACTGAGTCAGAATCTCTTTTAGCAGCTGGTACAAAATACTCCTGTGACACCATGTTCTGTGATGCCAGCCAGAGATGTGCCAACCTGAGGCACAGGTTTCTGGTTCAGGGTCACGTGAATAGAACATCACAAACAGGCGAACACAAAGTGCACCCCATTCCCTGGGTGAGAGCAGGGGTGGAAAGGTTCTGGAGGCAGCGCATCTGACCCAAGTGTATCTGCTTCCCAAAACAAACAGCACCCGAGGAACGGCTGTGCCTGTGAGGATTCACCTGCCTGTCGTGAACTGCAGCGTAGCTAACGCAGCTGTTTTGTTTCCTCTGACCTGCAGGTAAATGAGGAAGGCAGCGAGGCAGCAGCGAGTACTGGCATCGTGATTGCTGGCCGTTCGCTGAACCCCAACAGGGTGACCTTCAAGGCCAACAGGCCCTTCCTGGTTCTTATAAGAGAAGTTGCTCTCAACACCATTATCTTCATGGGGAGAGTAGCCAACCCTTGTGTTAACTGAAATATTCTTCGCACTTCTTCCTGTTCTGGCTTGTGAACAGAAATAAAGATAAATACAACTGCTCCCATCTCACAATTATGAATGGACTCAACTATGTGAAATAAAGACCAGGGATGGAAACAGATGTCATTGGGGCACTTGCTAAAGTGCTCTCAAGTGTTCTCCACCCAGGGAACACACCTGGCTCAAGAAAGTAACGAGGAAGCGATGTCACTATTTCGTCTAGAAAAGTGGCAGACATCCTGAAGGGAAGATTGAATTCCAGGATTCTGACTAAAAAAATTCTCCAAAGTGTAAACGAATAATCTCTCTACACGCAGACAAGACAGAGATCAAATCTGAGTATTAAACCATTTAATTCTCAAACCACTCACATGCATAATGTTCTTTTACACAGTGTTAAAATAAAGAGGAAAATGCATTTTTTTATACAAACAATTTCAAGTATACATTAATAGACTTTTCAGATTACTAACCAAGTTGGTAAGATCTCATTCACATTGTTCTTAAAGCTGTTCAACGAGAAAGCTTTTGCTAAACTGCTTTAAATGTTTTTATAAACCCCTATCTTTAACTCTTTGTCTCCCCTCCCCCAACCCTAGTTTGGGCCCCCCTCCCCCTCCCTGACGGGCTCCTGGGGCTCTAGGAGCCGTGCTACCCCTCCAAGAATATTGGCTTGTCATCAGAGGAAGGACAGAGTCTACAGGAGGAGAGTTCGAGCATCGAAATAAGGGACAGCAGACCTGATGTGTAGAGAGGAAACAGTTCTGGATCACAGAGCTTTTGTTTTCACTTGACTTTAATAAAAAACATCTCAGCCTCCCACTAAACACAGAAATTTATGACAACTTAGTAGCTAAGAAAATAAGTTAATGTCAGCTAATTTTCACCAGGTGTGGCGGTGCATTCCTGTACTCCCAGCACTTCGGGAGGCTGAGGCAGGAGGATAGTGGAGTTTAAGGCCAGCCTGGGCTACATAGTGAATTCAAGGCTAACCTGAAACACAATGAGACCCTGTCTCAAAAAAAAAAAAAAAAAAAAAAAAAAAAAAAAAAAAAAAAAAAAAATTCTCAAACCACTCACATGCATAATGTTCTTTTACACAGTGTTAAAATAAAGAGGAAAATGCATTTTTTTATACAAACAATTTCAAGTATACATTAATAGACTTTTCAGATTACTAACCAAGTTGGTAAGATCTCATTCACATTGTTCTTAAAGCTGTTCAACGAGAAAGCTTTTGCTAAACTGCTTTAAATGTTTTTATAAACCCCTATCTTTAACTCTTTGTCTCCCCTCCCCCAACCCTAGTTTGGGCCCCCCTCCCCCTCCCTGACGGGCTCCTGGGGCTCTAGGAGCCGTGCTACCCCTCCAAGAATATTGGCTTGTCATCAGAGGAAGGACAGAGTCTACAGGAGGAGAGTTCGAGCATCGAAATAAGGGACAGCAGACCTGATGTGTAGAGAGGAAACAGTTCTGGATCACAGAGCTTTTGTTTTCACTTGACTTTAATAAAAAACATCTCAGCCTCCCACTAAACACAGAAATTTATGACAACTTAGTAGCTAAGAAAATAAGTTAATGTCAGCTAATTTTCACCAGGTGTGGCGGTGCATTCCTGTACTCCCAGCACTTCGGGAGGCTGAGGCAGGAGGATAGTGGAGTTTAAGGCCAGCCTGGGCTACATAGTGAATTCAAGGCTAACCTGAAACACAATGAGACCCTGTCTCAAAAAAAAAAAAAAAAAAAAAAAAAAAAAAAAAAAAAAAAAAAAAAAAA